CTTTGGAGATAAAACATATATCTTGTCATTATCAAGCTCTGTGAACTAGAAAAAAACTCATTTGAGTTATTTATAAAAAAAAATCTGAATATGTTTTTCGTTCATAAGATTCTACGCCAACTTGCCGCTTATGTCACATGTTACTATATTACCCTCATTTCCATCAATATTCATGCTTGTTTTTCAATCGGTTTTACTAACATAGCAATTTATATAACATATTTCATCGTTAACTTTTGAGCTTGTTTCACGCAAATGATCTTCCAAAGTTAATTTTTTTAACAGGCATCGCTATGCATCTTGAAACGAAGGCATTTGATAAATAGCAAGTTTTATTGGCATTGTATATATCTGGACTTCATCTAACATTACTAAACATTCTCATAAACCTCTCGGAAATCCTGTAACATTGACTAATATGACTTTAATGTTTTACTTGAAAAATAAGCGACCGCGTCCAAGTTTCTCCCTCTTTCTCTCTCTCTCTCTCCCTCCTTCCATCCCCCCTCTTTCTCCCTCCCTCTCCCTCTCACTCTCTCCCCCTTCCTCCCTCTTCCTCTCCTTCTCCCCCTCCCCCTCCCTCCCCCTCCCTCCCCCTCCCTCCCTCCCCCTCCTCCCCCTCCCTCCCCTCCTCCCTCTCCCTCTTCCCTCCCTCCTCTATCTCCCTCTCCCTCTCTCTCTCTCGTTACCTCCGTGTACATGTGCTGCAGCGTCTCATTCCCGAGGGTGGTCTCGTAGCGATCTCTCCCGAGGGCAGCAACGTCAAGCGCCATTTGTATGCAGAACCTGTCGGGGAAAATAAATCTGCTAATGTGGCGATAGTCTTTGGGAGGGATTGCGTAAGGATGCGTCGATGTATGGCGTATTTACTTACTCGGACGCTCACATATGAATGCACACACACACACTTATATACGGACATACGCACACACAACGAAAAAAAAACGCACATATAAGCACACTCAAAAATATACACACATAAACACACACACAAAGACATGCACATACACACACGCAGACACACACACTTACTCACTCTCTTTCTCCCTTCCCTCCCTCCCTCCCTCTCTGTCTCTCTCTCTCCCTCTCCCTGTCCCTTTCTCACACTCTCTCTCCCTCCTCCCTCCCTCTCCCCTCCCTCCGCCCGCACCTGAGAGCGAGGAAGGGGTAAAGACGATCGTCTCGTTGGACAAGAAGGAGTTCCCAGCGTCTCCGAGGCCCGGGAGGATCGTGCCATCGAAGTCCCATCCCATCGTAGCCGAGATGTTCGCCAGGCCCTCCTCCAGAAGCACCTGCGGGGTCGTTGTTTCATTGTTAGTTTTCTTACGTGTATATACTACTATGCAATCAAACACCCTATACTACTTATACAATCAAACACCCTATACTACTTATACAATCAAACACCCTATACTACTTATCATATACTACCTACTACTTATACAATCAAACACCCTACATTACTATACAATCAAACACCCTATACTAATACATTAATACATGCATAATGAACACCAAACAATCAAACACCCTATATTACTATCTATTTTCAATAAAAGAAAAATGCCTCCCCTGAAAAAAAAAGCAAAAGCAAAAAGAAAAAAAAAGAAGCCTCCCTGAAAAAAAAGAAAGAAAGAAGAAGAAGAAGAAGAAGAAGAAGAACAAGTCGTCTTACCCATGTCGTGAAGGTGGCATTGGACACCTCGTTCTCCATGAAGAAAGTCAGCGTGTGGTTGCCAGGCTCGAGGGACACCAGGTGGAAGTCCCAGGTGAGAGCCTGAGCCGCCCCCAGTCCGTCCACGGTGGCGAAGTCCAGGAACGTTGCGGCTAGAAGGAGGGAGGATTAGGGGGGGTGGTGGGGTGGGGTGGGGTGGGGGCAAGGGAAGGCGTAAGGGTTGAATTCCAGCAGTGAAAGAGTGAGCTCCTAACTCATTATCTATCTGTCTTTATCTCTTTCTCTTTATATATATTATATATATATTAATATATATATATATATATATAATATATTATATATATAATATACATATATACATATATATATATATATATATATATATATATATAATATATATATATATAATATATATATATATATATATATATATATATATATATATATATATATATATATATATATATATATATATATATATATATATATATTTATATATATAATATATATATATAATATATATATATATATATATATATATATATATATAATATATATATATATATATATATATATATATATATATATATATATTCATAATCATATAAATAAATAAATAAAATATATATATATATTTATCTATTTATATCTATGTATTTATTTTTCTATCTGCATTTATCTATCTATCTATCTATCTATCTATCTATCTATCTATTTTATCTATCTATTCATACATTATACACAAACACACACACACACACACAATAATATATGTATATATCTTTCTCCCTTTATTCAAAGAAACCAAAATAAACCCAGAAAAAT